CTACCATCACCACCACCATCATCACCACCATCACCACCACCATCATCACCTCCACAATCATCATCACCATCATCATCACCATCATCAGCATCATAAGCATCAGCATCACTATCATCCCCACCACCACCATCACCACCACCACCATCACCATCAGCAGCAGCATCATCATCATCACCACCATCCCCATCCCCACCATTATCACTGCTAAAACCCGGCAACAAGAGCCTGTCTATGCCACATGCTGTGACAACACTGTTCAGAAGGAGTGGGTTGGGCAGTCTTGGCCCTCCCAGGATTTAAACGCTAAACAACTCTGATGCCTACAGTTACACAGAGGATACCGCTGAGCATCAGAGTGAGGTGTGCGGGTGATGGAGGCTTGGAGCGGGGAGGGGTGCTGGGCTGGGTGCTTTCACCTGATTCCTCACGGACTCAGCCCTGATGGGGTCCTCGGCAGCCAGCGCCGCACTGCTGAGCAGGATGAAGAGCAGGATGAAGTTGGTGAACCAGGTGGCGTTGACAATACGGTGACAGAGGATACGGATCCTGCAGGGGTTGGGGGGTAGGGTCAGGGGAGCTGTGAACTGGGCGTTCAGGTCTCACCAGCTTCTGTCCTGCACAGGGACCCTGGAGCCCTCCCTCCTGGGTCAGCCTGCTTCTGGGTGGTCTCCAGCTGGACACGCAGGAGACCTGTTCCTGCAGCCCTGATCCCAACCCCTAACGAGCCATCCCCCAACATTCCACTCTGTCCCACGGTTTTGCCACCAGAACAGGACAGGCTGATCGCCATCATGAGGCAGACAGATGGAGCTCCATGAAGACTGTAGTCTGTATTTTAAGGTGTGAACCTGTGAAGCCAGTAAGGACTAAAGCCTCACCTGGCTCTCGTCTCCTTGTCCCGTCTACAATTGCTCTTGGAAAGGAACCGATATGTGGGACCCCTCTTAGGCGTAAGTGAGGGAAAGGTTTAAAGGATTACTTCTCTCAGAGATGCTTGCGTTTTAAACGGGGCATAAGATCTTAAGATAAAGGAATGACCTTCTCATAGTGTATTGTAGGCCCAGAGAGTAGGGAGAAGGGGGTCTTCTCAGAGCAGGAAGCAGCGCTCTCTGACAGCCCCACCAGCCCCCCTGCCCGACAGCCGCGGGCCCACCCACCTGTTGGTGGGGCTGAAGATGAAGAAGGCGCTGGCATCTGGGATGGGCACGGCCTTCTCCTTCAGCTGCAGCTCGGCCAGCGGACGTGGCCGGGGGCTTATTGGCACCTCGGGCTCATCTTCTTCATCATCCCCTGTGGGGAGGGGGAGAGAAATTGGGGTGACTTTCCATGCTTTACTGCTCCCCGGCTCCAGTGCTCTGAACCAACTGTGAACCCTCAGTGGCCAACAAGCAATGTGGGGTGCAAGGATGCCAGCAGAGTCCAGCCCAGGGACCTCCCTTCCCGCAGGACACCAGTCTGAGCTGTCCAGACAACTGTTAGGCTCAGGACCCCCCAGAAGTGCGGCCAGGAGCAAGGTGGGGGAGACTTCTGGTGCATCTTTGCTGCCTCAAATGCTCACAAGCTGGGGGTGACATGGGGGCCTGGGTTCTGGGCCCAGCTCTGCCCCTGACTTGCACGCCAGGCGGGCCTCCGTCCCTCCCAAGTTCAGCTCCCCAGATTGTGAAATGGATGAGGGGCAGGAGGTTCATTAAAATAAACAAACTCCGAGATTCTCTCCTGGGCTTGTGTTCTAAAGTCACCCCGAAAGTGGACCATCAGGGAGGAGCCGCCAGCATGAAAAACTAATAATATTCTTCCTCTCTGGCCAGTGCCCGGTCTCGGGGAGAAGCGGGGTAGGCGTGGGGAGGCAGGAGGGGCCCCCAGCCTCGTCTGCTGGGTCTCAGGGCCTCGTGAGAGGGAGCTGCCCCGAGTCCTCAGCCCCCAGAAGAGGAGCCGGCGATCGGGCTGGGGACGCTCTCGAGGGTTGGGGCGCCCTGGTCTCTCAGGGCTCACCGTCTCTTGCCTCCCCCCTCCCCCAGGCAGACCTCCGGCTCCCTCCATGAGGCGGCCTGCGCAGGGTCTCAGCTCCCCCAAGAACCCGTTTCTTCCTCACAACGAGCATCCTAATGTGATCCTTCCTGTCCCCCCCGGGCCACCAAGGGCCCAGAGACACAGTGGACGCTAACTGCAGACACGGTTAATCCTCAGAAGCAGCCCGTCTGCCCTCTCTTTACCCGTCATTCGGATTTCCTCTCTCCACGCCCGTGTGCCAGCTTCATCACACTTAGATTTTTTTTATTTTTATTGTTTCTGTTTGTTTTGGAGGGAGAAGTAATTAGGTTTGTTTGTTTTTTTGTTTGTTTATTTAACGGAGGTGCTGGGGATCGAACCCAGGACCTCGTGCATGGTAAGCAGGCGCTCTACCGCTAAGCTCTACCTTCCCCGCACTGTGCTTTTATTTTGTCCTAAGCTGGGATTTTTGGAAAGGAGGATAAACACGTTCAGCCCCCTGGGTAAGAGGCTCCTCCACCTGCGCGCCCCGCAGCCGCCCCCATCGCCCCTGCCCCTTCTCTCCAGCCCTGCCCCCACCCCAGGTCACCACCCTCCCACCTGCACAGCAGCCGCTCTGCCCACTAGGAGACGCTTGTCAGATAATGAGACCAAGACGAACTATCCTGACACCAAAGTTCCTTTCCGGCAGAGATTCGAAGGAACACTACTGGTCTTGTCTACAGCAGCTCCGCTCTCCCCAGACTTCACTTTGCAATGTCCTCATCCGTCTTCATTCATTCCACTTACTGATTGCCTACTCAGTGCCAAACACCGTGCCACTCAGGGCACAAAACGTCCCTCTGGTGCTCAGGGTCACTGGCACAAAGCCACGCGGCTCAGCCAGTCCCGCAGACAGAAGGGGAACTGCGCCGATGACCACGGGCTCGGAGGACCCGGGAGTGAGCCCAGCAGGACGGGAGAGCTCTTTGGCACCAGCCTCTCCCAGGAGGCCTTCTAACCCTCACCCAGCCTGGGTGCTGTGCCAAGTGTTCCCTTCCAGGCGCCGACGAAGTGGATTTCTGCTGCGGCCACGGGCTGCGTGTCGTTCACCCCTGGCTGTGTCTCCCTCCCGTCCCCAACCTTGTCTCCTTCATCTGGATTCTCCCACAGTGCAAGCCATGCTTCTGCTTATCCCAAATCAGCCCAGCCTCTAGCCCTGCCCATCCCTAGCCCCACATGGGGGGATGCACCCCCTTCAGTGACCCACGCTGCGTGGCTGGTGGGGCTGGAATAGAAGACGTGTGAGTCTCTGTGCTCCTTGAAGCACACAACGCGTCACCTCTCGTCTGGGCCATTTTAGTACTCTTCCTACTGGCCTCCCACTGCTTCTTTTGACCAAGTGTCTCCAGTCTCCAAGAGCAGCACGAGCCGAATCGTGATTCTAGGACGATTCCTGTGGCTGCTCTCCTACTTGAAACACTCCAGGGGGCAGGGTAGAGCTTGGTGGTAGAGTGTGCACCTAGCACGCCCAAGGTCCTGGGTTCAATCCCCAGCACCTCCATCAGAAATAAAACCTTATTACCTGCCCTAAAAATTTTAAAAAAAATTTGAACCGCTCCAAACCCAGCTTTGCCCCAGGCCCTACAGCTCTTTTAAGCCCCGCTCCGCACCCGCTTCTCTGCCCTCATCTTGAACCACCCCCTCCACGCACACACACAGCGCCGTGCACCGTCAGTAATCACTATAAAATGACAAGCTCTTGTCCCACTCAGGAAATGCTGGCTGAATTACACGAAAATAAAGTACGTGCATTTTTCCATCATGCGTTTGTGTAGGAGAGGCAGGCAGGCAGGCGGCCCATTCACCAGGTGAGGTACACAAAGGATGCCTCTGTGTCCTGATGTCCTCGGGGAGGGTCCAGGGAGGGGACACACGAGACACTTCATCCCGGGGGGAAGTGAACCCCAGCACGCCCTGCTGTGGTCCCAGGACGCTCACCTGGGAAGTCGGCCGAGGGGTAGGGGTCCTTCACCTCATTGACGTTGGACTCAAACTCGTCGATCTTCAGCTGCAGGAAGGAACACGACGAAGTGGAGGTGAAAACCAGAGCTGCCGCCCCCAGTACTGAACACTGACTGGGGGCCTGGAGGTGCCGCTCACCTGAGGCTCCCTCCAGCCTGGGGGTGGGGGCCGCTACGGTCATTCCCCTTTACAAAGGAGAAGCCAGGCTCTGAAAGGTCAGACAGGCTGCCGGATCCACCAGGACCCCGGCCTGTCTGAGCCTGCGTGCTGCAGCCCGAACAGTTCTCGAGAGGAGAGCCGAGTCCCCGCCAGGACCCCCGCCCCTGCCCTCTGGCCGGGACCCTGCCCCCGGTCCGGCTCCTGCCCCTCTGAGCTCTGGCCCTGGAAGGCCGAGCAGGGCCAGGCCGGAACAGGGACAGGCAGGGCGGGGCTAGAAATGGGGGGAGGCGGTCTGGGCCTCTCAGCGGAACAAGGGGTGTCAGGTGGGGGGGGCCGCCCTGACCGGGTAGGAGGCGGGGATGCACAGGAAGCCTGCGCCTGGATCGGGGCAGCTGTGGCGCTGAGTTCAAAGGATTCCCTGGGGGGCCGTTGACCCCCCCAGCTCAGCGGGGAAGCTGCCCTCGCCTGGCTGAGACCCAGGCAGACAGCCCCTCTCCTGCCTCCTGCCGCCCCCCAGCACCCTGGGACACAGCTGCACGGGGGCCTTCCAGAGCCCCCGCCCTGTGCCGGCCCTGGAGCGCCCCGCCCTGCCTGCGGCAGGCTCACCTTGGCTGTGGTGGGGATGCCCTCCCCCTTGGGTTTCTGGTCCAGCTTCTTGGTCAGCGTTGTCTTCTCCTCCTCTGACTTGTCCGGGAGCCCCCTGAGGTGGAAAACCAAGAAACCCCAAAGTGGAGGCCTATCCGTCAGGTTCTGGGGGACCCGCTCAGCTGGATTGCACCCTCTGCAGACCCTGCCCATGAGGTGGAGGAGCCTGGAGGGAGCAGGACAGCCAGCCTGGTGGGAGGAACAGCGAGGCTCAGCGGTCAGGCTGGCCACACCCCACGTCCGCTGGTCGATGAGCTGAGTGAAGGTAGCTTTGACCTGGTTCATGGACGTCACCGCATGGGAGCACGGTTTGGTCCAAGACAGGGCTCAACTCTTGGGAAATGTCTGGACTACAGTGCTGACCTCTCCCTCCCTTCCTCTCCCGTTTTGCCTCCGCCAGGACTGGGCACGCCATGCTGGGGGAAGCAGGTGTGAGTCTTGACCTCTTAGTGGGGCTCCCCACTGGTGCGGACGCCACCTGGAAGCTGGTTGGAAACGCAGACCCTCCCCCACCCCAGGCCCCCGAATCTGGGTCTGTATTTTCACCAGATCCCTGGTGGTTCCTTCACAGTTAGAGTCGGAGAAACACAGTCTAGACCATCAGTCCTGCGTCTGCTCCTGGGGAGGGCCCCAGGCTGCAGAGGCTGAGCAGAGGGACCGACGCCCCCCAAGATGTGCAGATCCTCAGGGGCAAGCCTGGTGGGAAGGTTCCTGGACCCTTGACCAGGGAACCGGTCTAGCCTGCCTGGCTCTGCCCTCAGCCCATCTGAGGATCCACTTGCCTCTAGGTCTGTCCCCAGGGACACCTCAGGGGGCTCCACCACCTGCTCCCTGGGGCAGGTGTCAGTGGCTTGGCGCCCCCCTCACCAGGCCCCAGGGAGGCCCCCGCCCAGAGCTGGGCCCAGCCTGCAGGCCCCCCCCACCCCAGTGCACCCCACTCACTTGGACATCTTCCTCCGCCTCCGCTCCTCGGCCTTGGCCTTCTGGGCAGAAGTCAGGCTCTCCGCCTCTGCCAGGTTGTCCACGGCGATGGCCAGGAAGACGTTGAGCAGGATGTCTGGGGCGTCCCGCTAAGGAGCTCGGGTGGTGGTGGGGGAGCCTCTGGGGTGGGGTCCCTCCCTGCCCCCGCTCCGTGGTGCAGTCATTGGGGTCCCTCTGCTATGCAGGCATCGCCCCCACGGGGCATGGCCAGGTCCCACCCCGCCCCCTCCATCCACTCCTCTCACCTCCGCCTGTTCCCGGATCCTCTGTGCCCGCCCTCAACCTCTGGGCCCAGCGGACCCCCATCTTCATGGCTCCCCAGCCGAGCCTGCCCCCCCTGCTCCAGGCTCCCCGTCTCTCTGGGGCTGATTGCTCCCACCTGCCAGCAGCCACCCTGCGGGTCCCTAACCCTCCTGCGCCTGCGAGGGCTCGCCCTGCAGCTATGCCTGTGTTCGCTGCCGGCTGGCCCACCCCCAGCCCTGCGAGCCGGGGCGCCCCCCAGCAGAGGGCCAGCTGGCAAGTGGGCACTTAGACCCCGCTTTAAGCCAAGGCCCCTCCCAAGGGGATACAGTTGCCGCAGACGAACAGGATGATGAAGTAGATGGACACGAGCACCCCGGGGTATGTTGGCCCGCCGTAGGCCAGGATCCCATTGTACATCACGGAGTTCCAGTCCTCGCCCGTCAGGACCTGGAGGGAGACAGGAGCGCGGGGACATGGAGGGGCCGGAGAGTCTTCTGCGGGCACCACGTGGTCCAAAAGTCCCCCTGCAGCTCTGCCGATGCCCCCAGACCTGTCCTCCCTTCCTCCAGGCCCAGGGTGAACAGTCCCTGTTCTCCTGTACCTCTCCCAGGGATCAAAAACCCTATTGTTGGCTCTCTGGGGCCATGGAGTTGATCGTGGGTTCACAGCTTCCCTGCACTGTGTCCCCAGTGCTCCCCCGACCAGGCCTGCTGCCATTCTGGCCCCCAGCAAGAACGTGGAATGTCGAATTCCTTGAAAGACATGATGCCTGACCAGCCAGTGGGGTGAACGGAAGAAAGAGGGTGATGTTATGTGTAGGACCAGTGGTTGCCACACTGCACACTGCCCTTCCCACTGGCCATACCGCCACGACGTCCCCACGAGTATCGGCTCCAGCAGAGAGGAGACTGTCCGCTCTATGCTAAGACGTCTCCGAGGCCCCTCGGGGAGGCCAGCGCGCTCCCTTCAGCAAGCGTGCGCTGAGCCGCATCTCCGTGGTGGGAAATGCGTTGTACACCTCGGGGCTTTTGCAGCCTCGGGGAAGGAGAGCCCCCCTGTCTGACCTTGAGCTCAGAGATACCAGTAGCACTTGGGAGAGAAAGCAGGCACCTGGGCTCCCCGCCCACCCAACGCCTCCCTTCATCTCTCCTCCTGTGGGCCAGCACTCTGCTGGGCGCCAGGACAAAGGCAAGTAAGACACACTGGGCACAGCGCCCAGCTTCCGGAGCGTGGAGGAGACGGACGGCAACTATTGCCTGGAGAGGGACAGCGGATGCAAAGCAGCAGATCAGAGAAGGCTTCCTGGAGGAGGTGATGCCCACCCTGATCTGGAAGGGCAGGAGGCGAATCCAGCACCCGACGCACAGCTTACCTGGAAGACGCTGATGAGGGCCTGCGGGAAGTTGTCAAAGTTGCTGCGCCGCACCTCGGTGTCCTCGAAGTCGAACCTGCCCCCGAAGAGCTGCATGCCCAGCAGGGCGAAGATGACGATGAAGAGGAAGAGCAGCAGCAGCAGGGAGGCGATGGAGCGGATGGAGTTGAGCAGGGAGGCCACCAGGTTGCTCAGGGACGTCCAGTACCTGGAGGGGGAGGGTCGCAGTGGAGAGGAGGGCCCCCCACCTGCCAGGGTTCCTGAGATCTGGGCGGCTCAGGGGAAGGCTGGGGACTTGGGGGATGCAGGGGAAGGGCTGCCTGGATCCCCGCTTTCCTCGCCAGAGCATCTCAGCTCCCCTTAGTGGGGCAGCCATTTAGCTTCTGGGACCACCAGTAGAGTCAAGACCAGTGAGGGTGAGGACCACTCCTCCCATGCCCCCTCTCCCCGTGCCCCCGTGCCCAGCACAGCCCCGGCCCAGGCAGAGGCTCTAGGAATCAGTTCCTGCACACTCTCCCCCAACCCCTTTCCTCTGCTTCTCTCTTTCTTTCCCTAACGGAGGAACTGGGGATTGAACCCAGGATTGTGCATGCTAAGCACACGCTGTACTACTGAGCTACGCCCTCCCCCCACCCTCCCCTTTCGTCTTCCTTTCCTCCCTCCCTCTCCCTTCCCCCTTTCTTTCCCACACTCCCTTGTCTGGCCACAGCAATGGTGAGAGGAAAGAAAACCACAGAGGAAGGAGGTCAAAGGGGGAAGACACTCTCTCTGCAGAGGGAGAGGGGACTTCCAGGAGGGCGGGATGGGCAGAGAGAGCAGGGGGCGCTCCGCTTACTTGGTGATCTTGAAGATCCGGAGGAGGCGGATGCAGCGCAGCACGGAGATGCCCAGGGGCGTCATGGCGCCCGACTCCACCAGCAGGACCTCCAGGATGCCGCTGCACACCACGAAGCAGTCGAAGCGGTTGAAGATGGACATGAAGTACTGGCGCAGGCCCAGCCCATACATCTTCATCAGCATCTCCACCGTGAACAGGGACAGCAGCACGCGGTTGGCCACGTCTGCAGGCGGCAGCGCAGCCCCGCGTCACGGTCCTGCCCCGCCTGCCTCAGCCAGCCCTCCACCATGACGCCCTCCCCGCGTCTCCAAGCACCCTCCTTTTCCTACACTTGGGATCCAGCAAAACCTGGCGAACCTTCACCGTTGAAGGAACACTAATCCAGATTTCTAAGAAGTTAAACACACTCTATTCGGCAGGCCCGCCCTCATCACTCCACCAGCCAACCAGTGGGCGTCTGAACTCCGTGTCCCTGGCCTCCCAGAAGCACCGGGCAGAGCTGACCAGCCTCCTGCTCTTCAAATGTTCTTTTCCCTTGGCTTCCGTGACTCCACAACCTTCTGGGTTTCCCCTGCTTCTCCTGCCCCCCGCCCAGACGCACCCCCTTCCTCACGCCCGAGGGCGGAACGTGATCTGTGCACGTGGTACACACTGTCATCTGGGGATCTGGCGAGATCTTGTAAGACCACAGCTTCAGTTGCCACACCTGCCAACGACTCCCAGAGTCTTCAACCCAGACCTCTCCACTGAATTCCAGACCTACCTTTTGGCTGCCTCCCCAGTATCTCACTAAGATGTCTAAAAGGCACTTCAAACTCAACAGGCCTCAGACTAAGCTGATGGGCGCTGTCCATCTTCCCCCACCCCCCAGAATTCCTGGTCATTGACTGTCTCCCCCATTCAGTAAGTGGCACTACCATCCATTTATCTGCATAGGCCAGCAACGTCACAGTCATCTCTGACTCCTCTTGGTGCGCAGTGTTCACATCTTATCCACCTTTGGTCACTGACTGTGCTTGGCACATCCAAGGGGCTCTCAAGAAGATTGGTTGCAAGGAATAAATGAATGGATGGC